GTATTTTGAGCTCATGGTATACATTTTGGTGTGTTTTGTACATATCCAAGAAGTAGAAGATGTAAGGGAATCGTGTTTCCTTGACCTCAACAATAGAGTACAATAGAATAAATACAGGAAAGCTAGCTACAAAAGAGGAACAAATTTCCCTGTAATTAGGGATAATCGCAGATTTCTAGGTACTAACCTAAAATAGACAATCTAATATTAAATACAATTTACAGCTAATAATATACACGCTACAGCTAATAATATACACGCTAATTCACCCCCTCAGTCTGAGCAGTAGGAGGAGGACGAATGCCCTGGACCGAAACCGAGTGAAAAGGTGACGTGGAAGCCCTTTAGTGAATATGTCAGCGTACTGAAACTCGGCCGGAACATGAAAAACCCGAACAGAACCAATTTTCACTTTTTCTCGGACAAAGTGTATATCAATTTCCACGTGCTTGGTACGTTGGTGTTGAACGGGGTTTTCCGATAAATATATGGCTGATATGTTATCGCAGTAAACTATCGTAGCCATGCGAGTTGGAAGATGAAGTTCAAGAAGTAAGTTGCGCAGCCAAGTAGCTAGCTTTCCTGTATCTATTCTGTTGTACTCTATTGTTGAGGTCAAGGAAACACGATTCCCTGTAATTAGGGATAATCGCAGATTTCTAGGTACTAACCTAAAATAGACAAGCTAATATTAAATACAAGTTACATCTAATAATATACACGCTACAGCTAATAATATACACGCTAATTGAAGATTGGTGCAAGGTATCCAATTCTGGTTGCCAACCCTGTACATGACATGTCACTACTACAAAACATGACATAGGACTCACCATATAAGACCCAGTTTATGAAAAAACGAGACATATTATGGAAAAACCAGGATATATAGGAGAGTAATATGACCCAGTTTAAGATGAGGAACCGGGATATATGAGTGAACTAAACAACCCGGTTTCTAATGATACAACCGACTCTTTTAGCTGTAAAGTTAGAAGACCCAGTTTTCCAAATGAAACCGTGTTCTATGGCTTTGGGCCGTGATTTTGAGGTAAAATTTTGGATTTCCCACCATGAAAATTCCCGCCAACAATTTTGGGGGCCGTGATCAAATCAAGTTGTTTTTTGTGACATGCAAACACGTTTATATTAATGGCAATAATGATTGGTTATTTAGCATGTCTACATTAACATAATTTGCTAACCAGAGCATATTTTTTTATTGAATATATGTTTTCGATGTAAGTCTTAATTGTGTTAGTGGTTAAATGTAACGTAATGTAATTTTGGATGTAAGCCCTGTTAGCTATTTTCACAATAAAAATATTAAAAAAAATCAGCTTTCCTTAAATGACACGGTAATTATAAAGGAACTATGTAGATGTAATTGTTATATAACCCGGTTTTGAGAATTGGAACCGGGTTTTATCTCCTTAAATGACTTAGTTTTGTATGGTAGAACCGTGTCCAAATCACCTTGTGTGCCCATGTTTTTTATACTCCAATATCTTTATATGTCCCGGTTGTTAAAAAAAACCGCATCCTTTTTAGTATGATGGGACCCGGGTTTTAATTCTTTTTCCACATAGGACTCGGCGACAATAGGACCCGGTTGGAAACTGGGTTATTTAATGGATATAACCGGGTTCTATAAGCCTTTGTGTAGTAGTGTATCTGATTTCTTACCAGAGGATACCTTCGTAGATATGAGACCTTCAAAAGTACGATTCTAATGAATGCTTTATTTCTTGTGGCTAAGAAACAAAGGATTTTGTTATTAGATTATCTTGCAAAAATATTTGTGGATCCCAAACATAGGCAGTAAATAGTTTTCAAGCAAAGTGATATCACAATAACTATCCAAGAAAATTCCTTCTTTTAATCTACAACACATTTTTCGAGAATTTACCCACCACCAACATTTCGGATCAATAAACATGTCTGTGAGGTAATCCTAGTGTCATATTGATTTCAACATCCCAACAAAAACTACACAATGTATTTTTCTAATAAGTAATTCCCGAAGAATTTGTTCCCTTTTCTCTTCGTTTAAGAGATGTGATTTGGAGTGTGAAGATCTGTTCACAAGCAATGCTTCACCAACAATACTTTGGGTGTAAACCGATTCAAGCTCCTTTTGCGAACCTTCTAGCACCAAAGAAGCTTTATTATCCTTAGTTTCATGTAACTCGATGGATTGGCTGTTTGGGCACTCAGATTGGTGATATCCTTATCCCTTGCACTTGGAACACTTTAGTTTGCCATATGTGTTACAGCCTCTTCATCTTTGGCATTTGAAATAGAAGTGGGTTGTTTTGTTTCCATGGAAGATGTTGGTGTCACAAATGAGCTACAAGAACATTCCTTAATTGAAGTATATCCCCTCGAGAAGGGCGCTACTTCCATATCAAGACCAAAAATAAACGGAGCCATGGTGTGTTCACAGATTCATAATTTAAGGAAAACAAAAGTGGGGAGAAGGGAATGTGGGAAGCACTAACCAATTCTATGTTGGTCTAAAAACCCAATCCCATACTTGTAAAATATGCAACTAGACGCTATCATATAAGGCAATAAGTAATCCCTTCTATCACCAACTGGTTTTAGAAAATGGAACCTTATTGTTCTTCTATGTTGAGCATGGTTGGGCTAGTAACAACCCTAAAAAGTGACATTGGTCAAGGACCGGATGATGTGGCAGTCACAGGTGGCATAATCCCTAGTAATTCACAGTCCAACAAAGTTGATCCTGAAGCCTAGTATTGAAAGTCTCCCATTTGGCCCAATTCAGGTGAGTGTGTCCTGAGAGTATTAGAGGCATGAACTGAAAGTATCAGCAGTATGAAAAATGATTGGATCTGATGAATAGTTGTTGAGGGGAGGCCAAGGGCGGAACTTGGGTTTGAGGGGATGATTGTTGGGGGTGCAAACCCAGTCCGACATTGGTAAAATAAGAAACTAGATGCTAGCATATAAGGCAATGAGTAATCCCTTTTTATCACCAATTGGTTTTAGAAAATGGATCCTCATTGTTTTTCTATGTTGAACATGGTTGGGCTAGTAGCGATCCTAACATTCTACACAAACAAAGTCACGAAAAATGACATAAAGATCATTTGGCAGTCTTCCACCTAAACTTAGAATTAATAGCACAGTGGGATAAGGATATTGACTAACATTCTAAATTAGAAACAGGTCCACCTTACATGTTCTCCATCTCTCTATATGGAAGGAAATACTTGATCCAGATAAACTAGGTAAAAGAAACAACTAACTAGGATACTAAAAAAACATAGAAACCAAAAAGGCTATACTCTTTTGACTTCTCTAAACACAAAATTCCTATGAACCACAATTTAATAGCATTGAACATGGAAACCATATAGACTAGAATCTTGAACATCCCTCACTACTAGAAAAACAACCTTTTACGACGCTCATTGCGCGTCGTAAAAGGCTCAGACGACGCGCAAATGCGCGTCAAGGAAGGCCCTGTCATAAAGAGAGACGACGCGCATTTACGACGCTCATTTACGACGCGCAATTACGACGCGCGTTTATGACACGCAATGCGTATCAAGGAAGGCCCTGTCATAAAGGAAGACGACACGCATTTGCGTGTCGTAACCTTACGACACACGTGTTAATGACACGCAATGCGTATCAAGAAAGCCCCTGTCAAGAAAGGTCATGTCATAAATGAAGATGACACACATTTTTGCGTATCATAATTTAAATGTTTAAAAAATATATTATTTATAGATTTACTAATTTTCAAATTAAATAATAAATTAAAAATCTCATAATACAAAATAAAATACCATAAATAACAAAGATAGTTCATTTGACTAATATGTCAAATACAAATAATTATTCCAAAAGTGAATAAATCTTATAAAAAATGAACTCATTTATATACAATTGAACTTAAATTCACTTGTTCCATCTAAATGTTGACTTAAGTTTCCATTTTCAATGAACTCATACACCAAAAAAAAGGGAGCCCTCCACACAATATCGTATTAAACGCACCTGCAAATATAAAGTCAAATGTTAAATAAATATGGCCAACTCAAAATCTTGATAAATATATTTATCAATTGAAATACCGCATACCAGGTTTAGATGATGAACATGTGTTAACAGATAAAATAATATAATTATGTCTAAAACTAATATTCCAAACCTCGCCTATGAGTTCTGCATAAATAAGTGGCAACAGTTATGGAAGAAGGCCCTTGATGAGATTTGCCTTGTTGTGGCCAGCTATACTCAAAGCGAAAACAGCTGCATGCCTAACATGCTGCCCATGTTTATCAAAATTTAACAGATCATGCTAACAACTCATACATATAGAATTATAAGGGAAAAAAAGAGTAGGGTTTTCCCCAATCCGTTAAATTAGACAAAACAAAATGTTTTCTTTCCATTCCAATGGAATGAAGAATTCCATTCCTCCCCTGATTCCAGCATATATAGAGATACTTACCCTGATCAATTAATTTAATCAAATATGCATAAAAATACCAATCAACCCACCAACACTTTTGTTAAATCAACACAATAACACTATTATTAAAAACTATGACTCAAATTTTTAAAGGAGCTGTGTTTTAAATATTGAGCATGTGAAAGGAACCAACGCTTCATGTGATTTAAGTTTGAAGCAACTCCATTATTCTCTGATGAGGAAGCATCCAGTTCTTCTGTCACCTCCATTTTATCACCTGAGATACTTGCTGCAAAAAACTGTACATTTTTTGTTATTTTTAAAACAATATTCAAATAATTTTCTGTCATGTTTTCACAAACATCATTTATCTAGATAGCACTTTATCAGTGTATCACTTAATGAGGAAAAAAAAGCAATTTGAGAAGGGAATAGCAATATACGGAAAGGAAAAAAAATAATAATAAGAATAAGTATAAGAAACCTGCTCTAGAAATGAAATATGGAGGTAGCTCTCCTAATGCAGTTCCAAGGCCCCAAATAATAGCTTCTACTTGTACTTGAGGCAAAATGCTGCTGAGTGGAACCTGAACACCTTGAGAGGATAAAAAAACAATGGAGGCCCAAACTTTGAACAATCCTTTTGAAGCCATGTAGGGCTTCTATTTAACTTTATTGTATCATCAACAGCACTTTTAAGATCCACCCGACGACACTGCATTGCTTTTATTGTGAAGAAAGGAATGTGGGGACCCAGATATAGAACAAAAGTGTGTAGCCCAGACCCTGATCAATTAATTACAAATACAACTTAACAAAACTTCAAAAACTTTGGTTTCCAAAAAAGAACATAATAAATGAAAATGCAAGAATATAATTATCTAAAGGGAAAAATAAAGAACAACACTTGTACTTTCACCATTTTATTGATTTAGCCACTGAAGAAGTATTATTTTTTTTTATTAAATTAGCTATTGAGCTATTATTATAATAATAATAAATGATAATGGGGATAAAGTTGATTGAGCTCACCAACACCAAGAGCTACCCACCACAGTCCAAACCTTGCATATTCAAGAAGCTCTTCAACATGCTACAAGAACACATGTATCACATATTCATCATTATATATTAATATGTAACATATAATCCTGAAAACCAAGGAACTTACAACCTCATCGATAATTTGAAGGAACTTTGAGTACGATGAATCATAGGCAAAGAATTCGTTAACAAACAGAATACCTATTGAAGATCAATGTACAACTGATTTTGGGTTTTGGTTTGATTTTATGCTTTTCTTGGAAAACAACTAATAAAGATCAATAAATAGAGACCAAAAAATGGTATTTACTTGGTTTTATGGATGATCTCGTGATCAATAGAAGCTTTCATTTGAGAGAACTCATATACATCATTATTTCAAATAAAACTGCAGAAATATGTAGTTGTAATGGCCTAATGTAAGTAATAGGCAATAAGAAGTACCTTTCCATGAGGACCATCCACAGACAGAAACAAGAGTCCAGCTGCAACTGTGAGTGTGAAAAAAGCATAAGCCAGACAACATGTGTCAGAAGGTATACCAGTGATCTGCTTATATACTGAACAACAGCCACTATAAAAAGCTTCAATGTTTTGAAAGGTTGTGCTATTAATGTCATATTCTCGAGTTCTTGTTTATGCTTCTCACGCAGTCCTACAATTACAAACAAGAAAACCGATTAGCCAGGGAAACAAGGCATTCACTCACCATTACAAAAATATAAACCCAAAATTGGAAAAAAAATCCAAATGGTAAAATGAGAACTTCCATAATTAAGGCTGTGTTTGTTACATGAGACAAAAAAGATTACAATTTTATCCAATTGACATCAGTCCACTCAATGCACACTAGACACAGAGCAATGCCATTGTGTTGTGTCATGTCTTATGTATATAGACATAGACTATAGAGAGATGATAAATTTTTTCATAAGAAAAGAGTGAGGTGATCTTATTAGATCAATTATACACACACACACACACACAGAGAGAGAGAGAGAGAGAGAGATACAGGAATAAACACAACCATGGTTCCATTGTGTTAGTTTGATATTATTACATTGTCATATTAGCTTCATGTAAACTCGAGTAACCTAGAGCAAGTTATCCAACAAACTCATTTCACATCTTCAATGACATTTAATCAATATTGTTTCGATTTACCAAATTAAGTAGGTAAAACTTTCTTAGTCTGAAAAAAGAAACAATACAAAACCTCAACGGAAATAGAGTAAGTAAAGAAGACTAAAAAAAACCCTTGCGAAAGTGCAACAGACAAAAGATATGAATCAAATAAAATAAGCCAATAAGGCGGAGAAAGGGATATAATATGTCCCTTGATTTTATAAGGTTAAGAAGAGAGCAAGAATGGTAGCAAGAATCAGCTTGTCACAAAGTCAAATCAATTAACCAATGAAAAAGGATAATAGTTTAATCTATTAGACAACTAGATCAAAAAAGTTATGGATCTGGACAGATTGAGCCACCCTAGTTATGTCCATGGATTACAGCCAACAACATCAAATGTTAGAAGATCTGATTTAAACAATCCCGGCATCTCAAAAATCAAAAGAGGTACCTGAGATCGGCATCTCGAAAGCCTGAGAAGACAACAAGATTTATGAGTATGATTGAAGTTCTTCTGCACTCACATGCTAAAACGAAAATACATCTTTTGAATCAGTTTAAATTCTTGATAAAATCTCAAATCAGTGACAATCGGGATGAATACAAGGCCTAGAAAATCTGATAAACTCACTATTGAAACGGAGCAGGCTAAGATCAGTAACAACGCGAAAGCAGATCTTTGTTGTTGTTACGGGAAGAGGACTCCAGGAAGATATGAGATTCGCAGCATTCACTAATTGTGCGCTGTCTCTCTATGGATATGATTTGTGCTCGCTGTTGCTTGCTTTTCTTGGTCTCGAGTTAGATGTTAAATCAGACAATCCAGCCAACATTGGGACAAAAAATAAAAAGTGTAGAAAATCTTACATACATCTGGTTGGGATCGAAGATGGATTTAGTTATTTCTCCGTTTCTTTTTCCTTATTCTCTATACATTGTTCTTTTCTTTTCTCCCTTTTTCCATCTGAGAGTTTCTTAAAATTTTAGGGCTTCTGCACTTGGAGTTTGCTGAAATTTGTTAATCAGTCACACAAACACACCCTGATTTCTCCATTACCGAACAATCACCAACCATCATCTCCTCACAACCCCTTGACAACCTTCGAACGCCACCTCACACCCTCACCTGCAAATCGAAAAAAAAAATAATAAGAAGGGAGAAGAAGGGTTGTGATTCGAACCAGAGGAAGAAAAGGGGAAGAAAGAGGAAGAAAAGGCACATCTTTTCTTTTTTCTTTTCGCTCTCAAATTCTAGCTGTAAATAGGAAAGCACGAGAGATGTTGGGAGAATAGATGCAAGAGAGACAGAGATATCCATTTAGGTACGGTTGAGAGGTGAGAACATATAATCATTTGAAGAAGAAGGAATTTGGATGGGTGAGGGTAGGGACGAGGAAAACCTGTTTCCTGTGAGATCCAGCGCACAAAAGCCCTAGTTCTTCCAATCTTGGGATGGCGTGTATTTAATGTCTCAGAAGGAGAAAATGGTAGATAAAAGAGGATAGTTGACATTGTTAACCACTATATCGCTGCCAAACACCAAAAATACGAAAAAGAGGAAGAGTTATAGCCGCATAATGAGGTCTAGGGTTTACAGAGAAAAGGAGAAGCAGAGAGTGAAGGTTTTCAGTTGATGGAGAGGATGAATTCGTTATTCCTTCCCGAACAGCAACAAATTGATCACAGAACGAAACCTACAAATGAGATCTAGGGTTTACATGGAAACCCTAAAAGATGGAAGAAAATCGGGGTTTTTAATTTTTTAGGATTTCATTTCCCCCTGTTATTAAAGGATGGAACGCGCGTTCCATTAAAATTTATAAAGCGACATCCATAGATGACACACATGTGCCCTCCGTGTTTTTTTTTTTTTTATAGTTTAGACACTAATTTAAGGGCACACAATAATGCATGACCTAAATCCTTAAATTTTTTGAAGAAATGACTCTTTTTTAATGTCACTCTCTTTTGCGTAACATAAATCAATGAGTGTCGTGGTTTGCGCGTCGTAAAAGGCTATTTTTCTAGTAGTGCCTAAAGATTAAATTCCCATGGATAGAGAGCTAAATAGAATTGGACATGGATTTTGATTTTCATGTCATACAAATGAACCTCATAGTGAAGTAAAAGAAAATTCCCATCAACACACAAAGCCTCTAAGGCCTTATCCATCTTTTCATCGAATCTCCGTGCATGAAAAGTCCATGTTACGATTAATACATGGACTATATCATGATTTTGATGGTGGGTTTGGCTTTTAAGAGGCTTATAGCTAATAAATGCAAAGAATCTTACAAACAAAAAATTAAGATGCAAATGAATTTTGTGAAATATAGACTACAACCCATATGGTCTCAACTCTCAAGATATCATTGAATGATCTACTTTTATAAAGATCGTCATATAGATAGTGAGAATCAAGTGATTTATTGTAATTATCTTTTTCTTTATTTTCTACATTCTTTGTATTATATTATATATACTTAATAAATTATACTCCACATGCATAGTGCATTTATCCAACCATACATAACATAAGGCAGCCAACGTACCTTTTTCGTATTTTGGACTACCTGTTAGAGCATAATCCGTTTAACAAGTGTATTCAAAGATTACATTTCATTACTAAAAATAAGTTAAATATTATGGGAATGAAATGTTAACATTCCAAGTGTAAACCCAAAAAAAATAGAAAGATAACTACAATTGAAAAAAAAAACCCGTGTTCAAATAATAGAACATACAAGATCAACAATATTATTCGAAGAACGACATGGAAAAAGCGAGATTACAAAACTCGAAAACGAAAAATACAAAGAAAGTATTTTATCTAAATATGATGGTATGCGACTTTATTTGGTTGAACAACATTCCAGATTTAGAAGTTACACAAAGAAAATCAAATGAAACACATGCATAATAAAAGATACAAGAATTAGAAACCACAGGAATTGCTTTAAAGATATGGTGTTCATAAAAGAACATGATAATTTGGTGAAGGAGCAGCCCTCACACAACTATATTTGCAAGACCAACAATTCTGACAATCAAATCAAGATATTCCCTCATGAGATCTCATCTTGTCCAAACAACTGTCTAGCTTTTTTTAGAACAACAAACGCACACACCCATTAAATTGGCCTTTAGTTCTACACCTTTTGTCCAACATGGGACTTGAATCCTCAACGACATAGGGGGGCGGCATCTTTCCAACGCACAGAGAGGCTACAAGCCTTTGGTTCGTGAGTTCCCTAGCTAACACCAAAACCTGAAAGTTTCTGGTCCAACAGAACATTGGCAAGCTAGCATGAAAAATCACCTTCCCAAAATTCAGAACTAAGGAACATCAATACAATACACTGGTTGTTTTCTTAATGTTTAATCTATTAGAAATCAAAAACAGATGATCAAAGCCTGCATCAGCTTACACATGGATGATAATGTATGCAAGAAAGTGTTACTAAATCTTCTTATTTTTTCTCAACAAAACAGGTTACAAACGTTTGCAATTTATAGACTCTGCTACATTTAAAACTAAAATAAAGTGCTTTAACAACGGGTAATGATATTTTCACTTAAGATTTTCATACTTCCACTGAAAAAATATTGTAATGACAATTATGCCCCTAATTTCAATTTATAGATAATTAAGAGAGAATGTTTCTTTGTTTCTAAAAATATGCGAGACCAACATATCTTCTGTCATTCTGTGCTCGCACAGGTAAGTGAACTGGGCAATCGAAAGAATACTTTGCTTCTGAAAATTTGTTTGAAATGATAACAATGTAACAAGTTGTCTAATCAGTTTCTCTCTGCAAATGCCTCTTGTGAACATCATCATTTTCCGTGCTCTAGCAATTAATTTCACGGTTGAATTGTAAACTATGATTGAGGATTTCTGGAAAAATTAGCAATTCACAATTCAGGGTAACATCACTTGCCCAATTTATAGAAACCACATGATGTTGCCACAAGAAGAGGAAAACCTTATATGAGGTTTTACGTATGCTTTTTAGTGCACAGATATACTTTGGGTGTTTTTTTTCAGGCTTTTTTTGGGTTTTAAAAAAGTTAATACTTTAGGAATTGGGAATTGGAGATAATATCAGCGTCTTCTTCTAGATGCTAATTGCATTGCAGGTATGACAAAAGCTTAGAAAACTCTCACATGGCAATTTCAGGACCAAGTTTGTTCAATTTGCCCTTGGTATCATCTTTTGTTGTGTGTGTGTGTGTGTTAGAGAGAGAGAGAGAGAGAGAGAGAGAGATCACTGTCGTTTATTATACCGGTGGCATGGAGAAACACACTTCGACGACCGTCGAACAAGTAGCATCGTGGGAAGAAGAAGGCGGAAACTGTTCAAAAGATTTATGAAAATATAATCAAGGGTATAATTGTCAATAACCAAATTTTTCAGTGGAAGTATAAAAACCTACATTGGAAATTTCATACCCCTTTAACAACTACCAAACTATTACTGAAACTTTATTA